TTCAAAAATTTATGATCAATAAATTTTAAATGGAATTATAATTTAACCAATAAAATTTTCTACCGACTTCTAAATATATTTGTGTATATTTTTTGAAAGGTTATATTCTTGAAAAAAATAATGTAGTTTAAAGGATGTATTGTTAACTATAAATATATTGTTAATAAAATTAACAAAAAAAGTATATTATAAATATATAAAAGATAAAGTAAAATAAGAACTCTAATGTTTATCTTAAATATTTAATTTATCATTCTATAAATGTAAGAATAAATATTATTTTGTAATTATTTAGATCCTTATTTGACCTAAAATAAATTATTTCAATTTCTATAAAAAGGTTAATAAAACAAAACAAAATCAATTGAGATTTGATAATTTTTTTAAGTTTATGAAATAACTAAAATATATCATAATCTTTTCGAATTAAATTTATAATTGTAATCATGATAAAAAAATATTAAATGGTAATCATGAAAATTTAATGATAAATGATAATCATAAAAATTTATGATAAAATAAAAAATTACTGATACAATCATTTTAATAAATTAAATAATTTATAATTAATTTTATAAAGGTGAATAAATTACAAATAATTTTATAAATGTAATAAATTAAACTATTTATAAAATTATTTATATCAATAATAGTAAATTACATATATTTTAATAATGGACACACGAATTTAACATGCTTATAAACCGGAAAAAAGTTACAATAATTTTATAAACAGGAATAAGTTAATATCATTTTATATAAATTAATGGTATAATATAATGTATTAAATATTTATATAACACTTTATTAAATAAATTTATTTCATGAAATTAATTTTATATAATATCATTAATATTTAATTATTGAAAATTCGCAATAAACTGAAAAATATTTATTACAAATCGAATATAATAAAACATAAGAAATAAATACATAATTTTGAAATGTTATATATGATTCATTGTAATAATAAATGTTAAATTATTATTTAATATTATAATAAATTTTCCGATATTCTTAGATTTAATTTATTCTTTTTCCCGTATATAATAATAATATTATATTATTATTTAATATTATAATTTTTGATTGACAATAATAAATTCATTTTAATTAGTTAGACATTAAGATAATAAATTTAATACATATCACTAATACACGATATTTATTTATAAATGTAATTAACTAAGAGACACATATTTATCATTGTTGAATAAATAAATTTAAGATGATAGGGTAAATATTTATTTTTACAATTATTTTTATAAACTTAAATAACTTACAAATATTTTTATAAACGAACAAAATTCAAATATTGATGTAATTGTTTTTAACATGAATAAGTTAAAATGTTTTTATAAATTGTCACACGGGTTAAAGACACTTATAAACGAGAAAAAGTCTACATATTAATATTATTCAGGAAGTCCTTAACCTGATCCTGGCTCACTTCTTTTCACTGCCACATTCATTCCATTCCTGAGAAACCCTTTATAAACAACTCCAAAACCACCCTTTCCAATTATCCACTTCGCATCAAAATTAAAGATCAAGCATCCAAGATTTTAAAACCACCCTTTAATTCGAGTCTGTGTGAGGCTTTTAGTTGAATCATGTGTGAGGCTTAAGCTTAGCATGTTCCACATAACCTCCACATCTTTGTAACCGCACATTTCCGCTTCATCTCGAAGATTCAACAACCCGCCAATGGCTCCGCCCATTTTATCTCGAAGATTCAACAACCCGCCAACTGACAAAATTGTAACCGCACATTTCCAATATCAGTTAAAATGATACGTTTAATTTGATTTTGGAGTGAGATACAATCAATATGGTATGGCTATATCAAAAAACGTTTCAAGCCTATCAAATGCATGCTTGAGTAGTTACTATTCATGATGCACTTCATTTTCGGTTTCCAAAGTGAAACTATAATGATTTTTTCTGACCATTGCTTTTCTTTTCAATTCAAGATTAATTGACAGAATGGTTAGAATCTGGAAAGTTACCTTTTCTTATTGGTACTTGATTGTCCATAATTATAACATTTTTAATTAAATTTTGAAATAACACTTAACACTATTTAACGCTATTATTATTATTAATTATTATTATTAATAATTAAAATGGTTCACAAAAATAATCACTTGGTATTCTGTTGACTTCAGTATTTTACTTCAAAATCTTGGAACCGTGAATGTTGTATTAACAATTATATTTATTATCATATAACCAAAAACTTTATTCATTTTATGTCTACAATCATTTTATGTGGTTAACAAAAAAAAATTGAATGACAACCATACAATCAAAGTGATTTTCTACCCATTCATTTTTGCATCACCTAACCAACACTATGGAACCACAAGTTGCAGCAATGGCAAGACGTAAAAGGAAACAGATTCTTAAAGATAAAAGATTGAAAAAAGGAAGAACTGATGAAAACACAATCAATCCCATTGAAAACTCTCAAAGGTATTATGTTCCAACCATGGTTAATATCAGAACACCACTATTTGATTTAACTTCATCAATCTTTAATGAAAGAAATATGAGTTCACCTTCACCAGCATCTGCATCAAGCAACTCAAGTACAATGAAGAGTTTCAATATTGTTTCTACAAATCAACTAGCTGCTTCAGCACGACAGCGGAGGAAAAGTATTATGGAAGGTAAGATGCCCCAATCTTACAAACCGCAACAATGTCTTTGGTTCCATTTAATTTCACGCAGCCGCAACATCAACTGTTTGATTTATGTTCAATGTATTTCAACATCACGACAACAGTTGCATCATACATATGTAATTATATAGAAAACTAATGAAATTTTTTTAACAGAATTGCAGCTATCGGACAATGAGTTAAAGAATCTCACACTAATTGAGATTGAGAACATGATGCAATCGAATCGAAAAAGTTTGCATGAATTTAAATGTATGCCGTATCCAGATTCATACATCACAAAACATGTTGGCAATAGGCTTATTTATGACGAACTTAATTACGATGCCGATACCGAGAAACAGAAATTCCAAGAACTTTTTCATGCCCTTACAGGTGATTTATTTTCTTTATACTATGAATTACAAAAATGATTTTTATTGTCCTTGCACTTATAATTCTTGGTTTGTATTTTATAGATGAACAACGTTTGATATTTGAGAAAATCATGGATGCTGTTAACAAACAGAGTGGAGGGGTATTTTTCTTGCATGGTTATGGAGGGACTGGTAAAACTTTCATGTGGAGAACACTATCAAGTGCACTTCGTTCTCAAAAAAAAATTGTTCTTACTGTTGCTTCAAGTGAGATAGCTTCGTTATTATTGCCGGGTGGAAGAACAACACACTCAAAGTTCAAAATACCTGTGCCAACACTTGGCAACTCAACTTGCAACATCGACAAAGACACCGAACATTCCTAATTATTTGAAGCAACATATGTGATAATATGGGATGAGGCACCTATGTCTCACAAGAACTGCTTCGAAGCATTGGATAAAACCCTTAAAGATGTAATGAGCAAAAAGGATGTTGAGAATACTATTTTTGGTGGAAAAGTTGTTGTATTTGGAGGAGATTTTAGACAGATTCTTCCTGTTGTTCCAAGAGCTGGGCGTTCTGATATTGTTCATGCATCAATTAGTTCATCTTATGTATGAGATTATTGTCAGGTTTTAACACTATAAAAAAATATGAGACTTCAAGAGGGAAGAGACAACACAAGTTCTAATGAACTAGCGGAATTTTCAAAATGGATTTTAAATGTGGGTGATGGTAAGATTTGTGAACCCAATGATGGTTTGGTTGATATTGAAATTCCTCAAGAGCTATTAATATCAAATTTTGATGATCCTATAAGAGCAATTGTTGAAAATACATATCCCAATTTGTTGGAAAAATATCAAGATGTTGAATTCTTACAAGGAAAGGCTATTCTTGCTTCAACCATTGAAGTTGTGGACAAAATCAATCATTATGTATTAGACTTGATACCAGGTACATGTGTTTTATATTACTAATTTATTTATGTTTTGCTTTTAAACTTTTTTTTAGGAGAAGAGAAAGAGTATTTGAGTTTTGATTCCATTGATAGAACATATTCAAGTTATACTGAAGCATATGAAGTTCTAACTCCTGAATTTCTCAGTAAATTAAGAACGTCAGGGCTTCCCAATCATAGGATCAAATTGAAGGTTGGTACACCTATTATGCTAATGAGAAATTTGGACCAAGCCGATGGGTTGTGCAACGGAACAAGATTAATTGTTACAAGATTTGCAAATCATGTCATTGAGGCAAAAATCATGTCTGGAAAGAACATAGGTAACATTTTTTATATTCCACGAATGTCTATGTCATCTTCTGATTCACCTTGGTCATTCAAGTTGATTAGGAGACAATTTCCGATTATTGTCTCCTATGCAATGACAATTAATAAGTCACAAGGTCAATCTCTTGATAGTGTTGGATTGTATTTGCCTACTCTTGTGTTTAGTCATGGTCAATTATATGTTGCAATTTCAAGAGTTAAGAGCAAAAGTGAGCTAAAAATCCTAATTCATGACAAGGAGAATGTACTGTGTTCTACTACTACTAATGTTGTGTACAAGGAAGTCTTTCAAGCACTTTGATAGTTGGTAAACTTTATATCTTATACTTTACGATTCAAATTAAAAATCTATTTTGAATTAAAATATATAGTATGTACATTTTCCATGTATTTCAAGAAGTATATAATTTTTCCTATTTGTTCATGCAGACGTGATTTGTTGATAGGACCGACGCTTGCTACAAATATGGAGTTAAATGCCAACATGGTTTACATGAGACATATACTCAACTGAAAACATGGTAACATACTTAATAATTTAATAATCTATAAATGTAATGTGAATCCAGACGAGACCCGTGCGATAGCACGAATTTGTTACTAGTAGAGAGTTAAAAGAGAAATTGCCAAATATTATCATTCCAATTATTTTTACCCCTAGTCCAAATGGGTCATTGTTTTGACACAAAAGTACTACTAGTTTCTGAATTGCAGAAACCCAACGGGTTCATATACTGCGCCTGCGTCGCAACTCTACAAACGAAGAACCTCAAAGCGATTCAAATCCGATACCGGAACCTTCTAGATTCATCAACATCCTCATTTCACGTTAGTTTCTACAATCGATCTTTCTTCTTATGCCCTAATTTTATCTTAAACCTAACTTTATAATGAATAAAAAAACCCCTATTTTAATTAAGGGTTTATCGAATTCGGTCCCAAATTCATCTATATCCAATAATATGATAGTTTTCTTAGGCTGTTAGCACTAATCTGTTATTAACCATTTTCTGTTTTTAAATCTAAAAGTGTTTTCTTTTTTGTTCTAAATTGAAGGAGGTTGAAATTTTAGGGAAGAAGTTGATTGAAATATGCTTCAGATTCGGCTTAGCAAGACTTCTGCCTCTGATGGGTCAGCAGGGGTGAAGCAATCACCGGTCGAGACTGTTACGGTTGCGTGCCCTGACCATCTAGTTCTTGCTGATCTTCCTGTTGCAAAGGGCATTGGTACGCCTTCTATTGGTTCTCTTGTTAGGAATGTGGGTCGCAGATCCCGTCGCCAGCTTGGTGAGCGGGTTCATTTCTGTGTTCGATGTGATTTCCCGATTGCTATTTATGGGAGGCTGGTAATTATTCTCTTACATTGTCAAATGAAACTTATATGTGAATATGATCTGATGTATGTCCTTGTGTGCCATTGACTTAGTGTTGATTTTTCATTTTTCTACTTGCATCGAAATGTATTACTATTACTATGGCCCCATGATTTTATTCATTAGCATTTATAGATGACAATCTCGTTATTTCATCAATGGCTTTATAGTTTTATCAGCAATTTGGTTGAAAATGACAAAAATGTATTTTTTATACTTCCATCAAAACACACTTTTATGTTGTATAATTTAGAGTTCTAGATGCTATGCACGCCTCTGGAGGTGATTTGTTTAATGATGAGGCTGCTATGTATAAAATTTGGATAGTGGTTATTCTTGCAGAACATATGCTAGAACTTGTTAATTTCCTTGATGTTGGCTTACTATAGGTTTATGGTCTTGCAGAGCCCTTGTGATCACGCTTTCTGTCTCGATTGTGCTAGAAGTGATTCACTGTGCTACCTGTAAGTATATTTCTTATCTTCTGCTCTTCATACAGCAAAGTATTGGAAACTTGACTCTTCACTTTGAAGTTTAATTTAATTTGGAATGTCTGTCTCTGTTAGTTTCAGCATAACCCGTGGTCTTTTTGCCAATTTCTTTCACACATTTCATTTACTAGGTTGAAATGTCTTCGGTAACTGCCCATACTGGCGTCCTAATTCTTTTTCCAATTTTACCCGGAATTTTTAAAAAATAATATACAGCAGCTGTTTTTACCTTTCTGTCAAACCCTTGCTGCCAGATCTGTCCATTCAAAAATCTAATTCCTCTAGATTTTATTCTGAAATGGTTAACACAAGTCTAGCAAAACTATCTGCATAGAGGATTATGGTGAAAGAATTAGTAAACCTGGCATTGTCACTGAAACATACAAATATGGTGAAAGTGAGAGATGATGTGAGATGAGAAGAGATAAAAAAAAGTGAGAGCCACTGCAGAAGAGAAGAATTCTGTGGTCGCGTTCTGCAGTGAGGCGGCTATTAGAAAACAGTTGCCAACTTGCCACTGTTGTGTTTAGTAATCGTCTTGTGTGCATGCTGTTGTCCGCTGTTTGAGTTCTCTGTTCCCTACTCTGACTTTCTTTCACTCATTAACAAAGTTGAATTGTAACTGTGCTGCACATGCCTTTCATTTTCCAATCAAAAGGTGGATTATATTTCTATAGGGACGCATTAAACCTCTCCTTTGTTATATTATTTTCTTTGAATTTGATTATTTTAAGGATATTCATTTTGGAATTCATTCTCAACCAATTTTCCACTTTTTTCGTGCCCTTCTACTTATCCACTTGTTTTCTTACCTTACATGTGGAGGGTGTTCTTTTGTATTGTTGCATGTCAGTGGGGCCATATTCACAGAAATTAAAATCTGCCCACTTAAATAGGTAAATAAGCATGGCAAAGGAGTGGCTCATTTATTCACTCATTTTTACTGTTTTCTTTGTGTTTTGTCTCTATTAGATATAAAAATATTCGTGTTAGGATAGTTGATTTATAACGTGATATCAAGGGGTCTTGATTTAGAGGAATAGAGGGAGAGTTAGTAATGATGTGGTGCTGGATTGTAGTAAATCAGTAAATCAGTTAGATGGAAAAGGAGTATGTTGGTAGATATGGGAAGCAATATGTGAGGAAACATAGGAAAGAGAAAGAGAGAGAATAGGATAAATTCTGTTAGCAGAAGCACATGGGAGGGGACAGCTGGAAGCAGCTGAGTGGTAATAGGCTATAGGAATAATTCCATAAATGATTGAGTCCCAATCATTTGTGGGGTACGGAAGAATTGAATAGATCTGATTCCTAGGAGAGATAAGGCCTCTCAAAGTGCCTCTACTAGTTTTCTTCTTGCTTTGCTACTTATGCATTTTATTGTATTGAATCTGCTAGATCCCATTTGAACTCTAGCCTATTTCTTAATACAGTCAGTACTTCTACCATTTTCTTTGTACTATCTTCAGCATTTCTCTGTTAGATACTAGATTGATTCTATTAATTTGGTATCTAGAGCCTTGGTTTCGCTTACTCAGTGGATGGTTGTTACGGGTGGTATCATGGAAAATCGAGTGGAAACGATAGAACAGAGGATGAATCAGTTTGAAGGGACGATAGAACAAATACGACAGATCGTAACGGAGCAACAGTCTAGGCCTCAAGTGACAGTGGAGCAGATTCGCCAGCTCATTCAGGAGCGTCCGGGTCACCACAGAGGATCCGACGACGATGAAGATGAGGGGAGCAGAAGGAGTGATCGTTCGCAAGGATCTCGAACCAGAAATCGGCGTTACCTGGGTGGCGAAGGAGGGCGAACCATGGGGAGCAGAAGGAAGCTGGAGATTCCCATTTTCAAGGGAGAGGACGCGTATGGTTGGCTTGTGCGAGTCGAGAGATACTTCCGTTTGAGTGGTGTAAGGATGCGCGACAAACTAGACACAGTAGTGTTGGCTATGGAGGACAAGGCTTTGAATTGGTACCAGTGGTGGGAGGAGCAAGCCCCACTGAGGACATGGGAGGAGTTCAAGGTGGCTGTGATGAGGAGGTTTCAACCGGGTCTGCTGCATAACCCGATGGGGCCTTTGTTGAGTTTAAGACAAAAAGGATCGGTGGTGGAGTATATGGAGAAATTCGAAATGCTTGTAGCTCCTTTGAGAAGGGAAGAAAGGATTATGTTGGACTCCATTTTCATGAATAAACTGAAAGAGGAGATTCAAGCTGAACTAAAACTCCACGAGAGTCAAAGTTTAGCAGATTTGATGGTTAGGGCCTTGTTGATTGAAGAAAAAAATGAGGTGGTCCACAAGAAGGGTAGTTCATGGAGAGACAGAGGAGGGTCTTTTAAGATCAGGGATCCGGCAGAGGTAGGAGGATCTAAGAGGGAGGGAGAGAAAAGTAATGGAGGAGGTAATGAGAAGTTCAGAGGGAGGAGATTAAATCCTGCAGAATTAGAAGAAAGGAGTAAGAAAGGGTTGTGTTTCAAATGTGGGGATAAATGGAATAGGGAGCACATATGCAAATTCAAGCATATGAGTCTTAAATTATGTGAGGAAAGCAGTGAGGAGGAAGAGGTAACAGGAGGGAAAGGGGTGCAAACAAAAGACTCGGTGGGAGGAGTGGAGGAATGCAGGACTTTGCAACTCTCCCTGCAGAGTCAAGAAGGATTAACTTCTAATAAATCATTCAAGGTCTGGGCTACAGTTAAGGAAAGAGAACTGTTGACACTAATTGATTCTGGGGCAACTAGCAATTTCATTGATGCTAGGCTAGTGGAAATGTTGGGATTACAGTTGGTGGAAACACCACCATATGTAATTGAAGTGGGGAATGGAGAGAAGGTGAAATTTCAGGGGGTGTGTGAAAAGTTGAATTTCAGGTTGCAAGGAGTGGAATTCAGCCAGAATTTCTTCTTGATGGAGTTAGGAGGGACTGATATGGTGCTAGGTATGGACTGGTTAGCTAGTTTGGGCAATATAGAGGCTAACTTTGGAAATTTATGCTTGATGTGGGAGTGGGGTGGACAGAAGTATAATATTCAAGGAGATCCTACATTAAGAAATCAACAAGTTTCTATGAAAGCGGTGAGGAGAGCTTTGAAGGATGAGGGGATGGGATTCTATGTGCAGACTGTGAAAACTGTTGCAGCAGAAAAGAATGCTGAGTTAATAGAGTGGGATGAGACTTTGGGGAAATTTGAGGAAGTGTTTCATTTACCCAAAGGTCTGCCACCCAGGAGAGAACATGACCATGCTATTCTGTTGAAACCTAATGCTGCCATTCCAAACTTGAGGCCTTATAGGTATCCTTTTTATCAAAAAATGAAATAGAGAAAATTGTAGGAGAAATGATCCAGGCTGGTATCATAAGGCACAATACCAGTCCTTTTTCAAGCCAAGTGCTGTTAGTAAAGAAAAAAGATGGAGGGTGGAGATTCTGCACAAATTATAGGGCTTTGAACAAGGTGACTATACCTAATAAATTTCCCATTCCCATCATTGAGGAGTTATTAGATGAATTGGGAGGAGCGGTCATCTTTTCCAAACTGGATTTAAAATCTGGTTATCACCAGATTAGGATGAGGGATGAAGACATAGCCAAGACAACTTTCAGAACACATGAGGGGCACTATGAATATCTTGTCATGCCTTTTGGCTTGACAAATGCTCCATCTACCTTCCAAGCCCTCATGAATGAAGTTCTCAGGCCATTTCTAAGGAAATTTTGCTTGGTTTTTTTTGATGATATCCTCATATAGTAGGAGTAAAGAAGCACACAACATTTAACTGTCATATTGCAAGTGTTGAAGGATAAACAGCTATTTGCTAACAAGAAGAAATGTTCTTTTGGTCAAGAAGAGGTGGAGTATCTAGGGCATTTAATATCTGCCCAAGGAGTAGCAGCAGATCCCAGAAGGATAGAAGATATGATCAAGTGGCCTGTTCCAAAAAATATAAAAGGACTAAGAGGATTCTTAGGTCTAACTGGCTACTATAGGAAGTTTGTGAGGAATTATGGAAAAATAGCGTTGGCCCCTTACTCAGCTGCTGAAGAAAGACAGTTTCCTCTGGAGTACAGAAGCACAAGTGGCTTTTGATGAACTAAAGATAACAATGACTACTCTCCCCATTTTGGCTATGCCTGATTTTGAAAAAGAGTTTGTAGTGGAGACGGACGCTTTGGGCAAAGGCATTGGAGCATTGTTAATGCAGGAGGGCAGACCTGTTTTGCTCTATCAGCTAAGGCCCAACAAAAGTCAGTTTATGAAAGAGAGCTCATGGCTATGGTCATAGCTATTCAGAAATGGAGACCCTATCTATTAGGCAAGCATTTCAAGGTTCATACGGACTAGAAAAGCTTAAAATTTATAACAAAGCAGAGGGTGATGAGGGAAGAATAGCAGAAGTGGCTATCTAAACTGATAGGGTATGATTTTGAGGTGAAGTATAAACCTGGAAAGGAAAATAGGGCAGCAGATTCCCTCTCCAGACAAATGCAGTATTCTCACATAACTACTTTCCAAAATGAAGCTTGGAATGGATTAGAAGAGGAGGTACAACAGGATGAGAAGCTGAAGGGAATAGTGCATCCTCTTAGTCAGAAGGGGTTTCAACTTAAGGGAGGAAGGTTGTATTATGAAGGAAGAATAGTGCTGCCTAAGGGATCCCCTAGAATTAGTTGGATTCTGAATGAATTCCACGATACAGCAGTAGGAGGGCATTCTGGTTATCTCAGGACGTACAAAAGGATTAGTAGTGTGGTATATTGGGAGGGTATGAGAAAGAGGATTCAAGAGTATGTGCAGGCTTGTGAAGTGTGTCAACGGAATAAGTATCAAACCTCGACACCTGAAGGATTACTACAGCCCTTGCCGATTCCCACACAAGTATGGAGTGATATTTCTATGGATTTTATAGGGGGTTTACCTAAGGTACATGGAGTAGACACAGTTATGGTCGTGGTAGATAGACTCTCTAAGTATGCTCATTTCTTTTCAATTAGCCATCCTTATACGGCCAAGAGTGTTGCTGAAGTTTTCCTTCAAGAAGTAGTTAGATTGCATGGATTCCCAAGCTCCATAGTTTCTGATAGAGACAAAGTTTTTCTTAGCCATTTCTGGATAGAGCTATTTAAGTTGGCTGGGACTAAGTTGAAATATAGCAGTGCCTACCATCCTCAATCTGATGGCCAAACAGAGGTAGTCAACAAGTGCTTAGAGACATATTTGAGGTGTGTTACAGGGCTCAAACCTAAGCAATGGCCTAAGTGGTTAGCATGGGCAGAATATTGGTATAACACCAATTATCATGCCTCACTAAAGACCACCCCATTTGAGGCACTATATGGAAGGGCTCCTCCAGTGTTAATTAGAGGGGACACCCTTGGATCTGCAGTTGATGAAATCAATAAATTGACAATGGAGAGAAACTTGATGATCAAGGAATTGCAAGAGCAGTTACTCAAAGCACAAGATATGATGAGAAATCAAACAAACAAGCATAGGAGGGAGGTGGTCTATGAAGTGGGAGATAAGGTTTTCTTAAAAATCCAGCCTTACAAAATGAAGAGTTTAGCTAAAAGGCTGAACCAGAAGCTTAGTCCTAGATTTTATGGACCTTATGAGGTAATTAAAAGGGCGGGAGAGGTGGCTTACAAGCTTAAGCTGCCTGCTGATGCTAGAGTACACCCGGTATTCCATGTGTCCTTGCTGAAAAAAGGTATTAGTGCCTCTGCCAAAATCCAACCCTTGCCAGATTGTATGAATGAGGATTGGTATTTGGAACATGTGCCTGAGAAAGGAATGGATTACAGGAGGAATGATCAAGGAGATTGGGAGGTTTTGGTGAAATGGAAAGATCTTCCAGAATTCGAGACTTCGTGGGAGTTGACTGAAAAGTTAAAAGAGGAATTTTCAGTTTTCTTCCTTGAGGTCAAGGAAGTTTTTGAAGGGAGGGGAATTGGTATATATGGGAAGCAATATGTGAGGAAACGTAGGAAAGAGAAAGAGAGAGAATAGGACAAATTCTGTTAGCAGAAGCACATGGGAGGGGACAGCTGACAGCAGCTGAGTGGTAATAGGCTATAGGAATAATTCCATAAATGATTGAGTCCCAATCATTTGTGGGGTACGGAAGAATTGAATAGATCTGATTCCTAGGAGAGATAAGGCCTCTCAAAGTGTCTCTACTAGTTTTCTTCTTGCTTTGCTGCTTATGCATTTTATTGTACTGAGTCTGCTAGATCCCATTTGAACTCTAGCCTATTTCTTAATACAGTCAGTACTTCTACCATTTTCTTTGTACTATCTTCAGCATTTCTCTGTTAGATACTAAATTGATTCTATCATATGTGTGGCTGAGAGTTTAGTGAGAGTCTTGGTTGTTAAATGCCAAGAGTTTGTTGGGAGAATTATTTCTCTGGTTGTGCTCCTCAATTCCATAATTAATAATATCTCTTCACTCATAATATTGCGGGTTCTATCTATCAATTATCTGACCTGCCAGGATATCGAGAGAAGCTAGTGAATTGGCGAAGTCCCTAATGACACTAGAGATGTCTGATCGTTTCGATGAGCTAGAAATGAGGCTCATTGCAGCGGAGGACTCCTTGCGATTCTGCAATAAATGATGGGGAATTCTTTCAAATCATATTGATGGAGTTCACAAACTGTTAGATCGACATTCTTCTGGAAGTGTTTATTCATGCTCTTACACTGAAGATTCCGTTTGAGTCCAAGTTGATAATGAAGAAGGAAATAAATCCAGATGGGAATGGGTTTGATGGTCAAACTTTCTATACCGGTTTCACAAGAAAAGAATAAGTGATAGCTTTAGGTGCGTGCGACCCAACATAGATGTTAGAGAAGAATGAAGGAAAACTGAATATCTCAGGCTTGAGGGTCAAACAAACCCTTTGTCAGTAAAGGAAGTGGTCCAATAAGTTGCAAGAACAACCAAAATAAGGGTGTGATAACTCCCCATAAGGTTACTGCAAGGAAGGAGGAGAGAGTTAAAGCCCGAGCTGCTGGATCTGGGTGACTATGGAAACAAAGAAGGTTCAGTCGAGCTGCTGGTAGATTCGTTGGAACCATAGGAGAAGGCATCAAGTAATCCGACTCGGTTGAAGGCGGATGAGAGATTACAATGGAATTCGGTCACAATCACACCACCTCCAAAGCTGCTGGACACTAGTAAATTCTTGGGAGGTCCATCCATTCTCCCACCGCCACCAAAAGGAAACACGATTACAATCAAGGAGACTCAAATAACTAGATGTGAAGTCATGCTTCCACCACCGCTAGAGCCTCCAGATATAAATCTCACACGTGATGATTTATGAGTTGCAAGTGGAAGGCAAACTGTTGCGATAAATGTTGCGCCGCTAAAAGGAAACACAGTGGCAGTCAAGGAGATTCAAATAACTCGACGAGAAGTCACACTTCCACCACCACTAGAGCCTCCAGATACAATCTCACATGTGGTGGTTTGAGTCGCAAATGAAAGCAAACTGCTTGGGTACACACAACTATACATTTCTCTGGGAACAACAAACCCATTCTTGGAAGGAAGGAGTCGGGTAAAATGGCTAATTTGTGAGTTTAGTCTTACTCTAAACTTAATGGGTCAGGCCCAAAATAATTATTGTAAGTGGGCGCAGGAAATTAAAGTGTAGGGAAGAGTAGAACCACTACAGTTGGCCCATATGATTGATAGCCCATGCGTCCAAGAAATAATGTTCACACAAGGGTTACTCTTTTTGGTCCGACCTTATAAGATATTTTATAATATTCTAACACAACCCAAGTCAGAATCTGAGGTAAATCCAACGAGAAAGTGAAAACACAATGCCAAATCTTGCTTCCGTCTGATGTGCGCTCCACTCTGTTGCGGCAGTGATAAGAAAAAAAAAGGAACACAGAAATGAAAAGGATGAAAACAGAAATTTATGTAGATAATTTTGGAATATTACAACACAGGTTTTCGAGAGCTTGTCTCTCCACAATTCAAATTCTTCCTAATTTTCCAGAATGGTTTCTTAATTCTGGTTTGCTTCTATTTATACTGCATTTAACATCTGTTCCTAATTGGCACAATTAATCTGAAGGGTTGTGACTGTTCGATTTGATGTTGTTTGGTTCCAAGGGTAGCATCCTTTTGGGTGGGTGTGTCTGTTCACCAAGGGTCACGCCCCTTGATTCACATCTCTTGACGCTGCACTCCTTGAGCATCGCTGCCTGCGGGTGTAAAACTTGGTGATGGGTGGCTTAGGCTTATCAATACCCTCGCCTAAAAGACTCACCTTGTCCTCAAAGTGATAATCTGGGAAGACCTCTTGTAATTTAGCCACAGATTCCCAATTATTTTCACTTGTAGGGAGATTCTACCATTTAACTAAGACTTCCACGTTGCCAGGTTGTAATTCACGAATATCTAAAACAGAGTCCGGATAACCCTGTAATTCCTGATAAATTCCTGATCCTCAGATAGCATATCTGGTAAAGGTTGGGATTGGAAAGAATCACCAATGGCCTTCTTGAGGAGAGAGACATGAAATACTGGATGGATTTTATTGTGAGATGGAAGATCCAATTTGTAAGCAATAACACCCACTTTTTTTGACACCTGGAAAGGACCATAATATCGAGGGGAGAGTTTTTCATTAATCCTTTTAGCCAAGGATCCTCTCCTGTAAGGTTGCATCTTCAAGAACACCCAATCACCGATTTCATATTCTATATCTCGGTGGCGTTTGTTAGCATTTGCGCGCATGACATCTTGGGACTTCAACAAATTCTCTCTCAGAGCCGCCAATAATTCATTCCGAACAATTGTAAGTTTGTTGACTTCTTCAAGGCGGGAAGGAACGGTGGATCCCTTATGTGAGGTGGATCATGTCCATACAACGCTTTGAAAGGGGACATTTTGCTTGAAGCGTTATAATTGGTGTTAAACCAGAATTTTGCTCAGGGAAGACGAGAGACCCATTTCTCAGGCTTAGTACCTGTTAAGCATCCTAAATAAACTTCCAAGCATCGATCGACAACTTCCGTTTGTCCATCTGTTTGAGGATGGTATGCCGAACTGAATTTTAGTTGTGTACCTGCTACTTTAAAAAGGGCTTTCCAAAAATTGCTTAAAAACAAAGGATCGCGATCTGAAACAATTGAAGACGGAAATCCATGCAATCTTATAGTTTCCTATAGAAAAACTGCACCAACATCGGTAGCGGTGTAGGGATGCCCCAATGGTATGAAGTGGGCATATTTGGTGAGCCGGTCAACCACCACCAGAATTGTATCCTTCCCCATGGATTTGGGTAGTCCTCCATTAAAATCCATCGAAATGTCTGTCCATACTTGAGTAGGAATTGGTAATGGCTGTAGCAGTCCTGCTGGTGATAAGTTGTCGCTTTTGTTTCTTTGACAGACTTCGCAAGCTGCAACAAAATTTTTGATGTCGGTTTTCATCCCTTCCCAATAAACTAGATCTGCTATTCTTTTATAAGTCCTGAAGATTCCTGAGTGTCCTCTACCAAGGATGAATGGAATTCTTTTAAAATGATGGGACTTTTGGAGGTCGATTTGGACAACACCAATTACTCCTTGTAAAATAGTTTCTGACCCCTTAACGTGTAGCCAGCATGAGACATGGGATTGATAATTAGGTCTTGCATGATTTTCTGTAACTTGACATCTTGTTTGATCTCTTCAGCCCATTTCTTGAAATCGTGAATTTGTAAAACTGTCATTGCACAATAAGAACTTCTCCTGGATAGGGCATCGCCAACAGAGTTTTCCTTCCCTGGTTTGTACTGTATTTCAAAATCATATCCTGCTAACTTGGAAATCCATTTGTATTGTTCCCCACCGATCATCCTCTGAAAATTTCAAACTTTTTTGGTCAGTTTTAATAATAAAATGGTTTCCCAACAAGTAGTGTCGCCATTTCTAGACTGCTTTTACGACTGCCATCAATTCGCGATCATATGCTGATTTCATCTGATTCCTTTCTGATAGGATAGTACTCCAAAAGGCTAGGGGTCTTCCTTCTTGCATTAGAACAGCCCCTAGTCCGGTTCCGCAAGCATCCGTTTCAACCAGGCTCTGATACCAATTGATAAGAAAAAAAAATGGAACAGAAATGAAAAGATGAAAACATATATTTATGTAGATAATTCTGGAATATTACAACACAGGTTTTCGAGAGCCTGTCTCTCCACAATTCAAATTCTTCCTAATTTTCCAGAATGGTTTCCTAATTCTGGTTTGCTTCAATTTATATACTGCATTTAACATCTGTTCCTAATTGGCACAATTAATCTGAAGGGTTGTGATGGTTAGATTTGATGTTGTTTGGTTCCAAGGGTTGCATCCTTTCGGGTGGGTGTGTCTGTTCACCAAGGGTCACGCCCCCTGATTCACATCTCTTGAGCATCGCTTTCTGCGAGTGTAAAACTTGGTGATGGGTGGCCTAGGCTTATGAGGCAGTCTCTGAATCAAACAGTGTTTTCTCTCCAAACTAGTGTGGTCTGCTGCATGCCGCACCTGATGCGAAACCCTATGACGTGCACGCTGTCTCAGTTTCAAGTCCCTTGGGGATGCCCGTCGCTGCTGTGTTACCTGATGCAAAACCACAAATGGGGTGCTTCTGCTGCAGCAGCTCTTCAGGCACGCATTCTCTCCATACACACCCTTCTGATTTGCATAGCCTGCGTATTGCAAATCCTTCCCATACGTGCATCGCCATCTCTTTGAGTGCCTTTGATTCAGATGTCATCTCTCATACAAGCACTTCTGGTATGCTTGCTGTCTCTTCCGCGAGTCTCTTTGATACGTGTGTTGTAGTTGTCTGCGTGAATTCCCCTGGTGATGTCTATGAAACAGCTCAAACCTAAAGGAAGCAGCTGTGATGTCTGGGGAAAACTATGTCAAACTTGAAGATGAGAGGACTATTAAATTTGTGATTCTAAATGGAGTTCCTGCAACTGTCCAGCAATTCTTCTCCTAAAGAAAATCTAGTACTATTTTTCCACGAAGTAAAGCTTATTAGTTCTTTGCATGTCATTCCCTCGCTAGATGTGATCAAAGATGAAAGACTTGCTGCCAGATCTTCCCAATTGGGGGAGGAGCGTAATTCTGATTTGTGAAAGACTTGGCAACAAAATGTGAACCACATAATGGATGTAGTGTAAAGAAAATTATTCATTAGAGTAGAGATTTACAATAACAGTTTGGGTTCCTGATCCAGGGTCCTCTTAGAGAAAGAGTTAGTCATGATGTGGATCATTTAGAGGGAAGGAGAATATATTGTGGCTGAGAGTAGCGAGAGTCTTGCTTGTTAATTGCTAAGAGTTTGTTAAGAAAATTATTTCTGTGGTAGGAGTCTAAGGCTCTCTGGGCTATCCTTTACTTGTTGTACGACTCATTGTGCTTGCTCATTAATTTTGCGAGTTCTATCAAGTCTAGAGTTTGAAAGAAGTCTAGGTAACTCTGAATTGTAAAATTGAGAGAGTACAGAAGATAGGATTCAAAAGAGATGAAACTGAAAATCTGTAAATATTTTATGAATTGTTTGTCTGTACAATACAACATAGATTTATAGAGAATACGACCTATCAATAGTTGTAACTCCCTAGCTGACTCAGCCTAACAGAACTAACTAGTAAATTAGTAATTGAAGACAACACTCGGCACAAACTTTAGCAAATTTGTAATTGAAGACAACACTCAGCACAAACTGTAGTAATTTAGTAAATTAGTAATTGAAGACACATTCAGAACATTATTTTATTGACAATGTTATGTGCAAGTGTAAGAAACATATTAGCTTTTCTCAAGAAATTTTAGCTGCTATATGAGCACCACTCTAATGGAATTCAGTTCTTTATGAGCTTGTGTCCACTAATAAAAAGCTTAATGGTAGCAAAAGATAGGGTAAGGCTATTGCATTATCCATGCTTAAGGTCAATAGGCTCTTTCGTGATAGAGTATGTTAAATATAAAACTATTCACATGCTTATACCGAAGAATTTGAATTTTTGGTATGATTGGTTTATGGTATCAACCTTAATGTTTGACCTTCAAGATTACGTTATGCAATTGATAGCTTCCATGGGTAGAATTTCTCTTTTCTGTGTAGCATATTATTTGTATGTTAAAAAGAGTTTTCATCTTCCTTGGAACACAGGTGTGATGAACGAATCCAGAAGATTCAGACAGTCAAAGTGATGGAAGGAATCCTAATATGCGCCGCACCTCATTGTCTCAAGTCATTCTTTAAGAAAGCTGAGTTTGAATCTCATATCCACGAGAACCACGCCAATCTTGTTCGTTCCAATGCAGATAAAGAAGATGGAAATGAGTCAGAGGCACAAAGTGTCAGGCAACCTGCGGCCTCAGATTCCACAGCTCGAGGCCCCCAAAGGCAAGTCTTTTCTCCGGGTTCAAATTCTCAACCACACGATCTGGAAGATAGAACTCGTCGGCAGCCAGCAAGAGATCAAGCTCCTTCAAGACCAACAATGCAGCAAAAGCCACCATTTTTTGGCCAACAACAACATCACCCTTCAGATACAATGTCTGGTTCTATCGGAGGTATGCAACAGGGCTTTCATCAACAAAGTTTTGACATGCAGCAACAGCATCCCCCACAAGAACCTTCTCAGTTTACCGACATACCACAATCAGTTGGTCCAGATAACTCATTTCCCGAGTATCCAACAATGCACCCTGGACAATCCGCTAATATCCCCTCACACTCAAACCCAATGCTGAACCCTCCTTTGCCATTCGGTTATCCCTCTTACCCTCCTCAAGACCGAGCTCAACCATTTTATGCTGCTCCCTATGATATGCCTAGGCAGGACTCAGCTTCTGATATGGGTGGAGACTCAAATTCATTAGTGGGTTTCTCACAAGGTGGCCCAAATTTTCAAGGAAATTATTCCCAGCAATGGAATGCAGCAGGTGGTCCATTTGAACAAGCACAGGGTGGTGGTGTGGTTGTGGATCCAAGGGATACCAAAGGAATATTGGCACCACCACAGCCCATGCACCTCCCACCACCACCGCCGCCGCCAGCCCACATGTTGAAACATAATAACTATGCTGTTGAGCACGGACAAGATGGTCAGGGTTATGGTTGGCAGCATGATAGTCGTGACAGCTTTAGCGGTCAAGGCTAATAAGGTTTCCAATCATTCACGGTATATGTATCTTGCATCTTTGAAATCACTAAACTGCAATTTCTATTATATTTTGGCCTCTGTTTTTGTACATTCTAATCAAATTGAGTTTTTCTTTTATTAATCCGAAGTTTTTTTGTCTCATATTTGGTACTATATTCATGAAATTAGAATGGAATCAAATGTGTTTAAATGATATTGCTTTTCAACCTCATCAATTTTATTTTGGTACGAGTGGCATCGTATTCTTCGACCTAGATAGAAGTAGAGCTATATGAGTGACAAAGCTTACCTTCATCAATTAATTGATATCTGGCATTTTGATGTAAAATAAAATTTATTTTGATTTGACAAATGGTAAGGATTTTCATTCTTTTGTATCTTATATATTTGTTGCAAGAGCAAATTGATGTATGTTTTTAACAATACTGCTATTTTGTTATGGTCATAGCAAAAACAAGTTCGTTATTTACTTTTTTAAATACCAAAGCCTATAATTTGAAATTAACCATACCATTCGAAATTAATCTCATTTATCTGCTTTGATTTTTTTAGCTTATCTCACTTTTCTGGAGGCAAAAAATGCAGAAAAACAAAATAGCAAACCTATCATATCAAAATCATGGTTATTATCATGGCAAAATAGTAGGTAAACAAAATAAAACAAAACATTCACCTATACTACTCTGGTCTGATTTATAAGAAAAAAAACAAATTTATTACTCCGACCTGATTTATAAGTAAAAAGATAAATTTTACGCTTATTAAAAAAATATTTGAGTGCATTTAATTTTCTTGATTTTATATAAGAGAGATAATATTTAAGGTCAAATTTTTTAAAAAACTTTTGCTTATAAATAAGGCCGGGAATGCCTCCCATTCTCTTATGAGTGAGTGAATTGAAATGAAATGGATCTATCATTAGCTCAACATCATACACGTTTTCAGCCTTTACTTTTAATTGTGATAGAATTGATTTGAAAAGAGTTGATGGAAACATAATTGACTAAGGAAGTTGATTGTTTTGTGATGATATATTCTCCTATTCTTATAATAAGTGTTTCATTTGTGTTTTTTATATGTTTTAAAATAAATGTCTCTTTAGAATGCTAATATAAATTTATTATATTTTTTTACTATTATACTCCTATTTATTAACTTTCACACTTTTTAACTACTCTATTAACTATAATAATTAAGGGTGTTTTAATAAATGATACTCTATTTGGTCATTATTATAAATAAAAATTTTCTTTTTAGGTTTATTAAATAATTGATGTATCTCATTTACATAGAGACCAGATACATTAATTATTTAATAAATTTTTTAAAAAAATCTTTATTTATAATAGTGACCAGAAGAAATACTAATTTTATCATTAAAATTAATATATTTAATTATTTTTTTAAAAACGACACAAAACTTAAATGAGATATTTATTACGAGAGAAGGAGAGAGTAGTTTTAGAATTCTATTTGTACTAGTACTGATTTTGCTTCTAATTTATATGTTTTGATTCTAAGCTGTATAGAATCTACACTAAACATACAACCATATAGGATTGTTGATGTTGAGTGTTGACTGAAATTGAAGTTTGCTTCGGGAAAGACCAATTACTTCATATAGGTTTTATATAGTGCTGGAGGGAGTCCGGGGATCAAGAATAACTAGCCAATGATTTAGGACTAAAGGAAAGAGAAATGTATTTTCCTACAAAACTTTAAGACACAAAAACAACTTGTTGAGGAATTTGGAAGGATTCAGAGAGCAACAACTAACTTTTGAATTCAACCATTTTTTTCGTTGAGTGTGAATATTCAGAATGTTTTTTTAATATTAATTATGTTTTGAAAAAAAATACATAAGTATTAATGTTTTGGAGAAAATTAAATAAATAATTACGTTTTAAAGAAAATTACACAAATAATTATATTTTAATAAAAAAGTGAATTAAAGAGGTGACACTTAAATTGGTGTCTGTTATATAATTTTAAATTTTTTTTAATTATTTATGGATTTTTCTACAGATTTGATGTTTCTGCGGACTTACCTGTAGATTTTTCTACGGAATTACCTGCGAGAAAATAATCCGCAAGTAAATTCTCAGGAAAAGTTAAATCTGCATGTAAATTAAAAAAGTTGAAAAAAAATTTAGGAGATGGCTAAGTGTCATCTCACTGGACGTCTTCTTTAAAAAAATCATGCATCATCTGAGATGACTACTGTATTATAACATTTTCTAAAATAGTCATTTGCGTAAATTTATCCGAAACATGATTATTTATAAAAAAAATTTAAAACATAATTATTGTTAAAAAAAATTCAAAAATTCAAATCACTAATTAATATTCAAATCAATTATTTTGGTTTTTAATTTTTCAGTTCATATTAGCAAAAAAAAAAAAAAAGTCTGTTTGGTAACTGACATTTAACTTTTAGTTTGTAATTTTTTAATTAGTTTTTAGTCTTTTTTTTTAATCAAAAGTTATTTAAAATAACTTTTGAGTTTGTAGCTTTTAATTTATGACTTTTTCTTCATTTATATTCTTATTATTTTAACAAAAATATAATTTTACCCTTCAATATATATATATATATATATATATATATATATATATATATATATATATATATATATATATATATATATATATATATATATATATATATATATGTTCTGGACTGGGCCGCGCTGGTCCAAGAGCAAGGATGAAGGTCCAAATCCAAATGGCCCTGCAGAAGGTCGCTCCTACCCAGAAGCTACAGCCTTGTCCACGACATCCTCGACTTCATGCAGCCCAGCTCGACCTCTGCTCGAGCGCTCCTCGTAGGGCAGACTATGACCATCACGCCACGTTCTGGATTCCGAAAAGACCGCGTCCTTGTCCGTCCGTACTTCTCGCAGGACACCCAGGAAGGAGACCACGTGCGGGTCCCCACTACACACGTAGAACCTGGCAGTTCCTTCATTGGGCCAAACCTGCCCGGCCCAATAAAGGGACCTTGGCCCAGCGTTGGGGCTATAAATACCCTTTGTTCCGAGAGGGTAAGATATTCATTCTTTTACCCATACTCATACTTTTGCCTGCTCGTACTCTCACTTACTTCAGCATCGGAGTGCCTTGCAGGTACCCCCCCATCTCGTTCAAACTTCAGTTCGGAGCCAGTCGTGACGGTCCAAGTCTGATCAGGTAAGATCAGTGGCGCCGTCTGTGGGAAACTAGCTTCCCCGTCTTGCAAAACTCAAAGAACAAAGCTCAACTCAACTACCACTGTCATGGATGACCAAGCTCGCGATGAACAAAACGTCCGCGTCGTCGACACCAACAACGGCCCCGCGGACAAAAACGGACACCTTGATAACGCCGGCAACTCCGGTCACAACACCATCCCCGCGTCAACTGCCCCTGGACCTTCAACCTACCGCGACGGAGCTACTGCGTCGTCTTCCTCGGTCCCTCCGCCACTCGAAGAGGACGATGCAGCTCTCGCGAACTACCGGGCTGCCCAATTTCAGGAAGTCCCCGTCCCCGCCGGGGCGGACGCCACAACTCGAGTGCTGTTTGCAGCGATCAATCAAACAAATTACCTCATCTTCGCCCAAGGGGAAAGACTGAGGGCACTTGAAGACGACCGAAGACCCCCGAGGAGGCATCGGAGGCCCCAGACTCCACCTCATCGAGTGACTGAAGTCCAACTCCCGTCTCCCCCGCGGAGACATTACATAGATACCTCTCGAAGTCCATCACCCCGCCCATCGGGGAAACAACCCCCTTTGGAGAGGCAACTCATCATCCAAGCCGGAGGACGTGGTCGCGACCCGGCGAGACAGGAAAGAAGACACTCCGGAGACGGGCGTGTAAGAATCAACCAACGAGCACCACGCTCGAGAGAGGCCCAGCACGACCAGGACCGTCGTACCCGACAGTATTACAGGTCGCCATCTCTGTCTCCGGAGAGGAGCGACGAGGACGACCCCCGCGGTCCCCTGTCGCAAGCTATCATGGAAGCGCCCATCCCCCCGGTGATGGAGAAACCCCCGCACTTGAAGGAGTACGATGGAGTCGCGGACCCGGTCGACCACATAGACGGGTTCGAGGCTATGCTGCATTACCACAATGTCGGGGGTCCCATCAAATGCCGACTATTCCCCACGACTCTCAAGAAGGCGGCAATGGACTGGTACAAAGGACTCGCCCCAGGCTCAATCACCTCGTGGCAAAACCTGAAAAACCAGTTCATCAGTTCATTCACAGCTTCTCGACGACATCCAAAGACCGAGGCGGCTCTCGAGGCCATCATCCAAAGACAGGATGAAACCTTGAGGGAGTTCATCAATCGCTTCAACCGGGAAGCTATACAGGTCCCCTGCGCGGACCATATGAAGAGATATCTGTTGGAGAGGGGGATCCTCCCCGACACGGAATTCAGAAAGGCCGTGGGCATCGAGCCACCCAGGACATTCGACGCCCTCCTCGAAAAAGCTCGGGCATACATGGACTACGAGGAGAGGGAAGCGGCCAACAGAGCCCGAGACCCCAGGACTCGCGGGTCCAACAACAACTCGCGCCAGGAAGCTCCTCCTCGACGAACCGGGGAGAAAAGAAAAGAAGACAGACCCCAGGAAGTCCGAGAACAAAGGGGACCCTCGGGGCGTTTTACCGAGTACACTCCGCTCAAAGCTTCCCGCGAGCGCATTCTGGCAGAGTGTGCCAGCACTGACTTCAAGGACGGCGGTGTCAAACGTCCCCGACCTGCTCCCGCCAAGCCCGGAGCAGACAAGAACAAATATTGTCAGTACCATAGGAGCCATGGTCATCTGACTGAGGATTGCGTCCACCTCAAGGACGCCATCGAAACCCTAATCAAGGGAGAGAGGCTCGCACAATACCGGCGAAGCGACGCTCCCCGTTGGGACGCCCAGGAGACAAGGGAGCCGGAGGAAGATGCCCGACCATCTGACGAGTCGGTCCCCATCCAGACCGCCTTCTCCGTGACC